ATTCCCAACTCCCCCAAAATGTTGGACAAACATCAATGTTTATCAATAAAAGACCTTTGTAAATACTAAAGAATATCCTTGAAAATACTAAAGAATGAGAATGGGGAAGGAAATAAAAACAAACTATTAAGAGCTTATAAAAAAAACATAAGAAAATCACTTGTATTAAAACAGAACATATGACAAAGAATCTAAACAATTAACATTTTAAAAAGTAATCTTAAATGGATTGGAAAGAAGAAAAAAATATTCCAATCTCATTAGCATTAAAAACTTATTAAACAAAAAAAGTTAATTGTGGGCAATTTGATAATTTAAAAATTACACTATTCAAACCGGTGAGGTGCACTGAGCCAGACCCATTCTGCATGTGAACTTGGAAATGGACAGCTGCTTGATAAAATGTCTCAGGAACCTGTATCTTTGATGCAGCAATTCTCAACCTCTAGGAATTATTTCACAATGTCAATGAAATACCTTTGACATTTACTTAAGCATTGTTTTTTGTTTTGTTTTTGTTTTTTGGTACCAGGGACTGAACCCAGGGGTACTTAACCACTGAGTCACATCCCCAGCCCTTTTTATTTYCTACTTTGAGACAAGTTCTCTCTGAGTGGCTTAGGACCTCACTAAATTGCTGGAGGCTGGCTTTGGACTCATGATCCTCCTGCCTCAGCCTTCTGAGTTCCTGGGATTATAGTTGTGACCCACCACACCTGGCTAGCATTGTTTTTAATAATGAAAACTTAAAGCCTCATAAGTGTCCAGCAATAGAGGAAGCTGTAAGAAAATTCTTTCTAAATTATTTTATAAGAAATTTAATGGAAATATTTTGCCACAAAAGATAAATCAATCTATGATTTTTAATTGTGTATACATGTCCAAATCTCAGCCAAAAACTAACGGGAAACACGTCAAGAAATTCATATTATAATAGTATTTCTCTGAGTCGTTTGGGTTCTTTTCTTTGGGGTGTTCTCCATGAYAAAAATGCATTAATTTAAAAAGAGAGCAAAATAAACACTATTTTAGATGGAAACATTTTACTTCTTAAAGTCTCAACAATATAGACTTTTCCCTCATGGGAATCGACGCTGCTTTAAAGGGCTGAAAGTTTCACTCTATTGAAACTAGAAGTTTGAAAGCAGAAGCAAACTCTCCTCCACAGAGGTGAAGGGAAACACGAGGCCCTCCTCCCCTCTGAGGACCCATTCCTACTCCCCTTCGCTCCTCCTCTGGTGGTGGTGTTGGGCAGAGAAGGCCCACCCTCTGCTCAGGCCTTGGCTCAGTGCCCTCACTTTAAATCATGTAATTTTTTTTCCCATTCATCTGATTCTTGGTAACTCTTGGGTTCCTTTCAAACTCACTCAACATTCACAGTTGCCTTCAAGCTGGTCACTAGATAGCAGCATGATCTGCCTCCGGCCAGAAGATGGTTTCCTAATTGGAAGTCCTGGGTTCCCACTTCCTGGCATCTGCCTGGGGCTCAGCAATGAGGGAAGAGCCAGTCCCTGGGAACCACCAAAAAGTCCCTACTCCCCTTCTCTTCTCATTGTCCCCCTGGGACAGCTCTCCGCTTCATGTCTCTTCCACTGACTTGGCCACAGTCATCTTGTCACCAGGCAACTCCTRATGACTCCTCTAGCTCCAGTCTAATCCTACCATCTAACTGGCGCCATCTTTCTAAAATAAAATCTCATGACCCCTCGAAACCTGGCACCCCTACCATCTTGCCCATCACTACTGCTCTTGATACAGATTCTAAAATCAGTAACTTGACCCTTCCTAACTCCTTGGATATCACTAGTTTCCCCTCACTTATGTATGTATTTATTTACTCCATGAATTTTGATGGAGCACTTTCTAAGTGTCAGGCACCGCACCAGATACAAGAGAGAGAGTCACGAAAGGTACACATCAAGCAGTCAAGGAAGTCAGTCTTCACTGGAGTTGCTCTCTGTCCTGGCTCCTCAAGAGTGTGACCATAGACTAGTAGCATCGGCATCGCCTGGGAGCAGAACCTCACACCCTTCTTCAGACTCGCTGCATAGACATTTGCATTTCTATTCACAGGTGAGTCCCTGTGTAGGTCAAGTCTGAGAAGCATTGYTCTGCAACTCTGGAGCCCTCACTCTCCTTCTCTCCCTTGCTGCCCTCTATATATGCATTTAACTAGCCAGGGATATTCCTTGCCCTGTTCTTTGCCCAACTCCCATCTTTCCTTCAATTTCTGCAATGATTTCATGTCTTCTAAGAAGACTTCCTTCCCTGACCTCCTAAGTTAGGGTTAAGGGACCCACCTACRTAGTGTCTCCATCAAAATATTGATGGCTCTGTGTTGTGGAGACTGCCACCACCCCTACAAATGCTGCAAGAGCAGACATTGCATCTCTTTTCATACCTCTATCCCTAGCAGCAAGGCCAGTATCTGATGTAGCTGGTCAATAAAAAGCTGTTGAAAGAAACAAGAGTCCAGTGCAACTGTATAACTCCCAGGCTTAACAAATAATGTAAAGTTTCTAAATTCCTCAGGAGAGGGTGGGACTTGGAGAGGGTTGGGGGACAGTGATCATACTCCTAGAAAGAAATCATTTCCTTATTTTCATGTCTCATATCCTCAATTTCTTGCCCAAGGCGTTATGTACAGGGTTAAGCTTGTATGGAACCTCTGCTGGCCCAGTAGATGTCTCTGTGTAAATCACAGAGAAACTCCTTCCTACCATAGATGCAATTTCAGACCAGGGCATGTAGAAGACTCAGCAAGCAAATGACAAGCTGATTTCTTGTTGGCCCCTAGGCAGGGGGTAGCCTTTATAACTATATGTGGTGGCCTGCCTTGTCCCACAATTAGACTGGGAAGAAAGGGCACGGAGTGAACACTGAACGTCAGGCCCCAGCACTATATGACCTCAGACGAAAAATTTAACTTTCACCATACCTACTTCACAGGGCTTAGAGAATCAATAATGTTAAAATAGGGTCAAGTCATACCTTACATAAAGTTTAATTTCTAAAATTAAAGGCTATATTTTAAAAATGGGTATAACCATAATTACTCTTAAAACATCTTAATATCCATAGAGTCCTGTGCCCAGGTCAATGTGCCACTTTGGAGGTCGTCACTTACCACTCAATAAACCTACCACAACCTCCAGGGAGAGGAGAGATGTCGACTCTTCAGTAACCCATAAGTTGAACTGATTGGCTTATGTGGATAGTTCATGAACTAGCTGGCTTACATAGATAGTTCATGTCTATATGAAATACAGAACTTTCAATTTCACACTCATTTTCAGTACAGTAAGACACTCATCATACAGGTCCTTCAGCTCCAAGGACAGATGGAGTATGGAAGGTTCCCTTTTCCCATCTCTTACTCATACTCACCACAAGAAATGGCAAGTAAAATCACTAATGCAATTTATTTTTTTAAATATTTATTTATTTTTTAATTGTAGGTGAACACAATATCTTTACTTCATTTTTACATGGTGCTAAGGATCGGAGCTAGGGCCTCACGTGTGCTAGGCAAGCACTCTACCACTGAGCCACAACCCCAGCCCACTAATGCAATTTAAACTATGTTTCCCTCTCTCTTTTTGTGCCAAATACATATAGTCAGAATCTGGGCGAGTTATAGTTAGAATGCATAGTCTAATAAAGCTTGAGAACTCTCAAGTAAAATGTACATGCAAGGTATTCTTTATGGGATACACCTATCCAATCAGTGTTCTGTGTCGTGGGGAAAGTCCTACTGTGCAGTACATGGAGCTGCAGTGTAGAAAACCACCAGCTTATTCAGCTCAGGACACACGTGCAGACCACATCTGCCCATGAGAAGGTTGCTGCCAGATGCTCCTGGTGAGAGCTGCTGCTTGAGCTGTGCTCACCCAAGGGGAAAGACTGGTATGGAGCTCCTCCCCATCTTTCCCCTCTTTCCTGTTATAGCTAAAAGTGGGATAGAAACAAGATCTACTGGCTGGGGGAAAAAGCTAGAGCAGAATGAAAGCTGTGGGAACAGCCCCCTTGAATCTACTGAAGGCCATGGTTCATTTTTCAGATCAATATCTGCACAGGCCACCAAGCAAACAGTCCTCTCCGTTGCTCCAACAGTCCAGACAGGACAAAAGAGTCCCAGCTCCTTCCAGATAAAAGCAACATGTGCCCTTTGCTTTCCAGAGCGAAGAATCACTGAGACCTGAATATACCACCAAATAAACACTTATCCTTGTGCCCATCTGGGCCATTCTGGAATGTTCTACTGAATCAAAAACCTACCAGTCAACCCTATATATAAAAACAAGACTCTTTACAAACAAAACAGTGTTTTAAAACAGAAACAAAGCACCATTCAACATCTCTGAAGGCCTGCTAGGACCATGTGTTCACTTTCCATGCAAATTAACATAGCTAATCTCTCTTGACAAGAAATTTCTTAAGAGAAAAGCAAGTTTCTAGGCTATTGACCTAGAAATCTCATTAACACACTTGATGGAAACAATAGTAACCAAAACAAACACAAATAAACAATGGATTATTATTAATTCCTATCTTCTAAGGCCATGAGAAGAACAAAATTTTATTCAGAAACTTGACTGGGCATCTAGTGAAGTCATTACTGCTCTACAGGCACTGTGGAAGATAGAAACAAAGATAAATTGAACAGTTTCTGTCCTACCATGTCCCTCCCACTTTAAGCTTAGTCGACAAGAGCCTTAAGCCAGCATCTCACCATAAGGGAACTCATACRGAGAACACTAACTCTTGTCAGCAAAATAGATGAAGAAGTCTTAACAGGTTAATGACAAGAACTTCATCAAATGTTCCTGTGAGAAGTATAACTGATCAATCATATATTTATCCCAATATATACAATGATTTCAAGTAATTGCATTCACTTGATGGGAAAGAAGAAAAACCAAGACAGCAATAGAGGAGAAGGAGAGATTCTGCTATTTCAAGCACATAAAGGTATGATTGAGAATGGTTTGAATACTCACTGTTCTTCTTGTACATCAGAATTTCAAAGGAATTCATCTCATAGTTCTCAAAAGTTTGCCGCACCTTTTCAATTGTGTCTTTATCAGTCAGCTCCCCATACATAAAACTGCAAATCAACCAAAGAACTCCAGTTAGCAAATCAACAGGTATTTATTATTCTATGAGCACATGTTAAATATCTGTTCTGTACCCCAGCTCTGTGCTAGGCACTGTGATGTGCACATGTATGCAAAAACATTTGTTGGATCAAAAAGGCTTAGTGATTTAGACCAAGGAAAGGGATAGCTGGGTCAAATGGTGGTTCCATTCCCAATTTTCCAAGAAATCTCCATACTGCTTTCCATATTGGCTGCACCAATTTGCAGTCCCACCATCAATGTATGAGTGTGCCTTTTCCCCCACATCCTCACCAACACTTATTGTTGTTTGTCTTCATCATAGCTGCCAGTCTGACTGGAGTGAGGTGAAATCTTAGAGTGATTTTGATTTGCATTTCTCTAATTGCTAGCAATGATGAACATTTTTTCATATATTTGTTGATATTTGTTGTATATCATCTTCTGAGAAGTGTCTTTTCAGGTCCTTGGCCCATTTATTGATTGGGATATTTGTTTTTTGTTTTTTGGGTTTTTGGGTTTTTTTTTGGGGGGGGGTGCTTAGCTTTTAGAGTTATTTATATACCCTAGAGATTAGTGCTCTATCTAATGTGTGAGCGGTAAAATTTGCTCCCAAGATGTAGGCTCTCTATTCACCTTACAGATTGTTTCTTCTGATGAGAATAAACGTTTTAGTTTGAATCCATCCCCCATTTATTGATTCTTAATTTTAATTCTTGCACTATAGGAGTCTTATTAAGGAAGTTGGGGCCTAATCCCACATGATGGAAATTAGGGCCTACTTTTTTTTTTTCTATTAGACACAGGGTCTCTGGTTTTATTCCTAGGTCCTTGATCCATTTTGAGGTGAGTTTTGTGCATGATGAGAGATAGGGGTTTAATTTCATTTTGTTGCATATATAAGTCTCTGTTTTTAAGTTGTTCTCTTTTCCTACATGAATACTGACTTTGTTAAACTATCTTCTAAAAGAAGAATAGATCAATACTACATTAGCCCTACCTGAGAACAAGAGATTTTCTCTTTTTTCTCTTTCTGAGTTAATTTTCTAGATATATGACCATCATTTAAGTGAAATGATAGTATATATGCTAGCAATTTCCTTCCCAAAGTAACATAAATCACTGCAAAATTGAGTCTTCATATAGATGAAGTGCTGTAATTACACCCAATTTTTACTAGTCTTAGGTACTCTTTCAAGCAGGGTGGATGTAAGTTTCCCTTACCTGAACATTAGATTGCAAATATCTACAATATAGGAAATAAGCCAAAGAGGTTCCTGAGCTATTAGGAATATAACTAGCACAGAGGTTTATTTATTCCTATAGAAAGGACCATCCAGGTAATTAAATAAGTTGTTTTGAATTATGCATAAAAGTTTGCTAAATTAGCAAGATAGTTTATTTGATTTTTTGAAAGTGTTTATACCCAATAAGAAGAAAGAAAGGCAAGGAAAAACTGTTCAAGTTACACCAAAAAAAATTGAAGGTAATCTTCTCAATTTATTGATTATATACATGAAGTACAGATGCAATGAAGATGAAGATACACAGATATATAGGTACTTAAGAGGAAACCATCACAGAAAGAATATAACAGCATTCTATTGCAGTTAGAGTCATAATTTCTAAACCTCTGAGCAGTAGGGGAAAAAAATCTTAAATTTTCCATTGCTCAGTCATCACAGTATAAAATTTAAGAAAATTAAAATGTTTCCAAACATTTAATGTTTTCACCAAACTTGTTATTTGTCTGATTTAATACATGAAAATGTAACCTCTGAGAACAGACAAGTATGTCTGACCAGGCAGGCTTTACCACCCTCCATAGATGAGTTTATTTCTTAATTTGGCAGGTTTGGAAAAATGATTCCACTTCATGCAAACACCACTGATGAGAAAAGGCTGAAGAAGAAGAAAGCGGAGCCAGAGGCCATGCTGTACCAAGCAAGACCTTGCCAGGGCTCAGCAGAGGAATGTCTGGCAAGATCCAGGCTCCATGCCCAGCTCAACACCTTGAAAATGCTTTGAAAAAGCTTTCTCAATGCCCAGGCCCAAAGGTAGTGCTCAAATACACAAGATTTGCTGTTAGCACAATTTGCTAAGAGCGATCTAACAGTACAAATTACAAAGGCACAAAATATTGGTTCTCTTCTCTTTTTCTGAAACAAAGAATTTAAGCTGAGAAAAAAAACTATATTAAAAAGGCTTTTGTCTCCAACATTATAAATTACTCTTCTCTAAAATGTTCATAAATTTTTAAACATTAATTCAATCATCTAAATTTTCTTTTCATTTTCATTTAATTTTATTTGATAGTCTAACTTTCACATTTATTCAATATGAAACTTCATAAGCTTTTGAGTTCACATTTTTAATAGATAAAATGGCTTTTCTGAGCTTTTCTAAGTTTCTCCCTATCTTACTGAGTGATGGCAAATTTGTCAGTTGTAGGGACCATGTTGAACATATTCTTTGATTTTCCTAGCACATTCATGAATGAGAGAACATGCTGCAATAAAAATTCCTCAATAAAAATGGAATGAGGGCTGCTGGGGTTGTGGCTCAGTGGTAGAGTGCTTGCTTAGCAAGTGTGAGGCACTGGGTTTGATCCTCAGCGTCACATAAAAATAAATAAAATAAAAGTGTTTTATTTATTTTAGTTGTAGATGTATACATCTACAACTAAAAAATTAAAAAAAAAAAAAAACTAAATGAGGTTAAGGTAATTCCAAAACTGAGAAAGCCATTTTATCTTTCCAAAAGACACCATGATAGATCATCCATCAAAACAAAGCCCAAACATAAATACCTGCAGGTACTGCTTTTTTGCATCACTTCTGCCCTGTGGTAACCAGACAGCTTGCAAAATCCATCATTGCTGTACACGATAGGCCAGTCCACTATCTGGGCATTCCCCAACACAAAATTAGTATCTGTTAAAATAAAAGGAAAGAAAAAAGGAAAAGGGCATGTGAGGCAAGATATTAGCTGAGATTCAGTAAGGAATGTAAATAATGTCAACCAATCCCGGTATTTCTACTTCCCTTAAAAAAAATAGTCTCTTGAACAGTAATATGGCCTTATGATATGAATGAACAATGCTTTAGAACTGATTCTTTGGATGCAAATGCTAACTAAGATTACTGTACTCCAGGAACAGCTTAGTAAAGGAAGCATACTTAACCAACCGACCAATGAGCCCTGCAGAAATCCAGCGGATTCCTATGATACGTACTCAAGTCCTAATTTTTCATCCAAGTGAAAGCATACCAATAATATAGAGCAGAGGAAAACCCAAAAGTAATTTCTTCTGGACTCTGTCCAGCATCTTAGCCCTGTCAGTCTCTTGGCCAAAAGGTACAAATTGGCTGTATTGACCATGACAAGCATTTCCCCATTCTGAGAGGACCTTCTCAGGAGGCAGAGGAAGGATACTGAGCACTATCTCTGGGAACACACACACACACACACACACTGTAAAGGAACCTCCCCCTTGTGGGGAAGTGTGTTCAGACCTCCCTCATGTGACCACTTTGTAGAGGGAGATCAAGATGCTCAAACCATAATTCCTTCTCACTGATTTTGAAATTTTGTGGTCATTAAGCTGGACATTGGTGCTTTTTTCACAGAACACCAGCCTGCCACTCACTTAGGATGGTAAGTACCAAGTTTTCAATTCTGCAAACATCATAATTATTTCAAAGTTACCATAATGTCATATTTGTTGCTCAATTTAAGTTTTCATGGATGTTCCACATGGTGTGGGTGATGGGACAATTAAGTAGGACAGACCTAGCTGGCAGGCTTTGTGTGTTCTCATGACTTCTGACATTTTTGAAGACCAAAAGTATTCAATTTTTTTTTTTATGCTCAGAAAATCAACCATCCTTTTCAAGAATTTAACTTAAGCAAATAACACCTGAAACTTACTTGCAATCACTGTTTTAGCTTGGCTCCCTCCTCTCCACAGAATACCACCCACCTTCACCTCCCAAAAAGAAATAATACATACTCTTTTTTGTTATAATTGGAGAGTGTACATATTGGGGTGTGTGTGTGTGTGTGTGGTGTGTGTGGTGTGTGTTCACTATGTAGAGTGAAATAATAGTCCCTTATCCAATGGAGAGGCCAATTTTTATATTTGTTCTTTTTTGATATGCATGACAGTAGAATGTATTTTGACATATTATACATATATGGAGTATATATAACTTCCCATTCTTGTGGTTGTACATGATGTGAAGTTACAGTGGTCATGTGTTCATATTTGAACATAGGAAAGTTATATCTGATTCATTCTGTCTTTCCTATTCCCATTCCCCTTCCCTTCCCTTCATTCACCTTTATCTAATCCAATGAATTTCTATTTTTCCATCCCCCATCTTATTGTGTGTTAGCATCTACATATCAGAGAGAACTTTCAGCATTTGGTTTTGGGGGGTTGGCTTATTTCACTTAGCCTAATAGTCTGCAGTTCTATCCATTTACTGGCAAATGTCATAATTCCATTCTTTTTATGGATAAGTAATATTCCATTGTGTATATATGTCACATTTTCTTTATCCATTCATCTGTTGAAGGGCACCTTGGTTGGTTCAATAGCTTAGCTATTGTGAAGTAAGCTGCTATAAACATTGCTGAGGCTGATTCACTGTAGTATGCTGATTTTAAATCCTTTGGGTATAAACCAAGGAGTGGAAGAGCTGGGTCAAATGGTGGTTCCATCCCGCGTTTTCTGAGGAATCTCCATTCTGCTTTCCATAGTGGTTGCACCAGTTTGCAGTCCTACCAGCAATGTATGAGTGTACATTTTTCCCCACATCCTCGCTAACATTTATTGTTACTTGTATTCTTGATAATTTCCATTCTGATGGGAGTGAAATGAAATCTCAGTGTAGTTTTGATTTGCATTTCTCTAATTCCTAGACATGTTAAACATTTTTTCATATATTTGTTAACCGATCATATTTATTCTTATGTGAAATATCTGTTTCAGTTCCTTAGCCCATTTATTGATAGGGTTACTTGTAGTTTTGGGTGTTAAATATTTTGGGTTCTTTATATATTCTGGAGATTTGTTCTCTATCTGAGGTGCAGGTGGTACAGATTTTCTCCAATTCTGTAGGCTCTCTCTTCACATTCTTGATTGTTTTCTTTGCTGTGAAGAAGTGTTTTAGTTTGATACCATCCCATTTATTGATTCTTGATTTTACTTCTTTTCTTTTGTGGGGGTGGGGAGCACCAGTGATTGAACTCTGGAGCACTTGACTACTGAGCCACATCCCCAGCCCTATTTTGTATTTTACTTAAAGACAGGGTCTCACTGAGTTGCTAAGTGCCTCAATTTTTGCTGAGGCTGGCTTTGAACTTGTGATCCTCCTGCCTCAGCCTCCTGAGTCACTGGGATTATAGGTGTGTACCACCCCACCCAGCTTGATTTCACTTCTTGTGCTTTAGGTTCCAAAGCAGACATAACAGATAGTTGAGTCTACTTTTTCTTCTAGTAGGTGCAGTGTTTCTCATCTAATGCCCACATCCTTGATCTACTTTGAGTTGACTTTTATGCAGGGTGATAGATGGGAGGTTAATTTTATTTTGCTATATATGGATTTCCAGTTCTCCCAGCACCACTTGTTGAAGAGGCTGTCTTTTCTCCAATGTATGTTTTTGGTGCCTTTGTTTAGTATGAGGTAACTCTATTTATGCGGATTTGTCTCTGTGTCTTCTATCTGTACCATTGGTCTTCATGCCTATTTTGGTGCCAATACTGAGCCATTTTGTTACTATAGCTCTGTAGCATAATTTAGGGTCTGGTATTGTGATGGAGTGTCTAATTTTGTTCAAGGACAGCATTTATAATTTATTCACAATATGGGTAACCATCCCTGTCTATCTCGGGAGGTGACTATGTCTGGGTCAAACAGGCTTCTCCACCCTTCATAGATGAATTTATTKATTGATTAATCAGGTTTTGAAAAATGATTACCCTTCACACAATCAGCACAGGAGACAGAAGACTTTTTTACCTACTAGTGAAGAAGACAAGGAGAGGGGCCAAAAGGTCATATGAGCCAGGACCTTGCAGAGAAGGGTCAGGGAGGAGGAGAAACTAAATACTAAACTAAATGGTACATTCTTGAGAGTAGTCCATTCTTGATCTATTTAAAAGGAACATAAAATACAACCTCAAGGAGTGAACCTGTAAACCTACTATTTTTATAATACAACTTTAATAGAAATTTATAACCAGCCCTTTCCACTATCTGATCCACATATACATAAATATTTCTGGAGTACCCACTAGAAACCCAGTATAATGCAAGACCCTGGGTTTATACAGAATGATAAGACATGATCTCTGCATTCCAGGAACGTCAAGGGACAAAAAGACATGTGCACATCTAACTAAAGAAACGGGTCAGAAAACGACTAACTCTGAGGGAGGCAAAGGACTTTTTATAAGAGCAGACAACATTTGAACTTGCTCTAGCCTACGAGGACAGTAAGATTCATTCAAACATTTCAGATGAGAGCACAGGTAGGAAGATGGTGGGAGGTGAGCTTCTCCAGGCTGGGAAGAGTCTGGAACATCAAAGCTTCCAGTTTATGATGGAGGCAGAAGAATCTTTATGTTGGTATTCTCTCCCCGAGTAACTCACGTTTCCTGAAATGAACAACCAAACCTTAAAAAGAAATACAAAATTCACCAAATGATCCCTGAGTGCAAATGAATTCTAGTCAGTTTAACCATCTTTTTTTTGTTGTTGACTCCTAATATAGTGATTAAATTCTCTCATAACACCTACACATAGGAGGGGAAACTGAGCGAACTTTTTCATGGCTAATTCTCCACTGATATTATCTATGTGTAAGAGGGAAAAACAGCCAGTTACAAGTAACTGTTTGATCACAGGAAATACAGACGTTCCCTCAGGAAATATAGATATGGGTAGAAGCAATTGTTCTCTGGGTTTTCCTGACTATCTTCTCCATGCTTTGTCTTTTCCTTCACTTGAAAACTATTCACCTTTGACTTCCTAAAATGTTGTGTACTGACCTATTTCTAGATGTGTTTATTGTCTTTCTRTCGTAGACCCCAGTAAAATAAAAGTAAACGGATTACAAAGATCTTAAAAAAAAACATAAAAATGAGAATATGATAAAATATGAGCCAACATAAATCACTGTGAAAAAAGCAGGAGTAACAGAGGAAAAAGAACTTTAAAGACCAACATCCCTAATTGGTCTCCTTGAGAGATTCCAGCAGTATGACATCCACAAAAAAAAAAAAAAATACAATAGGAGGGAAAGAGCCCTTACAGAATAAAGGGCTCTCATAAATTAAAAATAAGTAGAAATTTAAAATTCAACATAAATGTTAAAACCTAAAGTCTAGCCAAAAGTAGGTCAGAAAGAGAAAGAGACAAGACATATAGGGAAAAAATAAGACCTAAAAATTTATTCAATATGATAAGCAAGAGGAACCCTAACATGAACAGCAAAAAAAGAGAGAGAGAAAGAGAGGGAAAAAATTCAGGAAATATTCTTTTAAATAAATTAAAACAACCAAAAAGAAAAATGGACAAAAGCTAAGTATAGGAAATTTAGAGCAGGTAATGTAAATAAATAATGGACACATATAAGATTGAGTCAGCTCATTGCTATTGGAAAAATGCACATAAAATAACATTAAAAATGCAACATAAAATAAATTAAAACAACCAAATATAAAGGTAGAATAAAGATATTTTCAGATATGCAAATATTTGGAGAATTTATTTTCCACACATTCTTTCTTAGAAAGTTACTTGAGGATGTATACCAGCAAAATGAGAAAGTGTTTTGTTTGGTTTTGTATTTGTTTTTTGTTTTTTCCAAGAAATAAGACACAAGGGAACTAGGAAAAAAGTGGCTTCAAATGTCAAAGTAGAGA